AGAGGGTTATTCACCATTTAAGATCTTGTCTAAACTGTTATGGTCTCGCTGCTGAAATGAAGTCTTGGAGACTTTCATGGCACGTATTGAAAGCTACAGAAAAAAAAAAAAAAAGCCATCAGGATGACTTATTGAATTGGTTAACACATATTGTAAATAATGTGATATTAGGGTCATAATAAAATTAATGCATGGAGATACTGAAGGGAGGTCTCTCTTTGGGAGGGAAGGGAAGATGATTTTCTAACCTCTGGTAGACTATCACAGCTCCTAGATGTATTGACTGAGCAAACCTATCACCAACAAGAGATCCCGGAGTTCGTGAAAGTCTTTTTGATCAGCCTTGTGATTCTCTCCTTTGGAATGCAGCTCTTCAGGTGTTTTCCCCATAATTCACAAGGAAAAGCTGCTCAGCAAGGTGTTCATACCCTGTCCTCCAGACTACACCATCTATGCACTGAGCTGTACTTCCAGCGTGCTCCAAATGCACTACAGGAATGACAATTTCCAGCACAGACTCTTCAACAGAGCCACTGGCATCCTCCCTCCCCTTCACCAACAAAACTGGAGAAAGAGAGTTTGTTTAACTCAGAAAACAAGCAGTTTTCCCCTCTGGGCTCTTTGTCTCAGCAGTGTGCACCCCTCTGGGATCACAGCAGAAGGCAAAAGGGAGGTCACACCTCTTCTTCATGGCTTTAATCCCCCTCGTGAGCCTGCGAGCGCAGCCACCAGCCCTGTGCTCCTGGAGAGGGTGCCCATCCAGTGATAGGATACTGCTCTGCTGGTGCTTGCTTTGGCTGCCAGGCCAGTGGAAGCTGCAGCTCCCTTCTCATTCCAGGTGTTGCTGAGGCTGCTCACACCTCCCATGCTTCACCAAGCTCCCTGTGGGATCAAGGATACGCTTACCCAGAGCTCATTGCCAGGGTGGGGCATGAGCCCGTACTCATTACCCAGAAAAGCTAACAAATACAGTTTTAAACTATTATTTAATCTGACTGTGCCCATTTAAATTTTCTGCTTCAGCTTCCACCCTCTCACAAACATCCTGCTATCAGCTGAGAAACCAAAGCCATTTCTATGGTAAATTCCACCTGCAAAAGCTCGATGGTCCTGGTGGCCTCCCACATTTCAGTCTCAGCCAGATATTTGGTGGCTTATGGGGCTTCATCTTTCAGCTCTAGACTCATCTGAACCACCTGAGGCCACTAAATCATCAGAAATCTCCTCCCTTTGCTTCTCCTGAGCTGAATTTCTATCAGCTCAGTTTGCCCAGTGGGGTTGGTTTACTATCAGAGTCAGTGCTAGGGGGGAAAGGGGAGATGAGGACAGAAGGTGCAGGGTTGACCTATTGCAGGTTGTTAAGTCACTCTCACCCCTTTCCCTCAGGGAGGTCAGTGAGACTGCACCTTTGCAGGGCAACCTGATGAAGCAGCGCTTTGAAGAGGAACATACCATTTCCTTTCAACAAGGGTGTGGCTGTAAGGTCTTCTCAAAGGTCTTGCAGAAGTTAGATGGGTGAGAGACACCCAGTTACTCATCAGTAAGGACTGATGGAAAGGACTTCAAACAGGGCCATAGGCAGTATAATGCTACTGCTGAGTGCCAGAGGAAGGTGTGACAGATGGAGACGTGCTTCACCCAACAGTTTTATGGCAGCTCTGCCTGGCTCAGATTTCCCACCAATTACCTCTTAAAGGAAGAGATTAAGGGATTAAGGGTTAAACTTGAGACCTAGTTCCCTAGTATTTCTGTGGTTTATACTTCACTGTTGCCTGGATGAGGTAAGACAGGCTGTTATCGGTTACTGTGATGCTGTCCAAAGAGGCCATGGCTTTCCCTGCCCCGCATCTAGAAGACCCAGAAGATGTGGGATACAACTGACTACAGAGAGCTCACCAGCCTGTGGCAGAAGGCATGAATTATGGAGCTGACATCTACTGTAGATCCACTTGCTCCTCACTCCAGCCAGCTCAAGACACCCAGTCAAGTCAATAATCTTCATAACCAAGGCCACTGGCGCTAAAGACAAGATTTAGCAACTTTAAGCACAGAAGTTAAATCAAGCCCTCTGTTTCCTTGGCTAGAACTACCCATTGACACATGCCATATCCTGCCATAGTCTGAAGGATGCAAACCAAACCACAGGGCTGCACCTTGGCCACGGCCAAGACGACTGGAGCACCTCTTAGTAGTGGAGGACACTGAGAAGCTTCCATTCCATTGAGCTACATTATTCTAAGCTTGGCATTAGAGCACAAGTGTTCACAGAAGGTATTTCGCAGAGAGAAGACCTTTTACAGAACATCTGCCTCAGACCCTTGTAGCTTCGGCTTTAGCCCCATGCAGGAGAGAAAGATTTCTGTAACAGACTAAATCCTATAGATAGAGATCTGGTGCTGTGTAGGCCACCAGTACTGTCTTGGGGGCCGATACTAATGAACCATATTCAACCTCCACAGAGCCACTGACCTCATAGCTCAGGCCAGAGGTGCCAAAACCAAAGGCACAGGAACCAGTTGCTGACTCTGCACCCATTATTCATAGGTCTTATTTCATAAGGCCCAGCTCTTCTGCAGTGTGATCCAAAGCAGGGCAAAATTAGAAAATGCCATGAAGAATCTTCTAGCAAAGCAGATACCTGCCATGGACAGATTCTTCCTTCCATGGAAGCATCAAAGGCTGGCCTTGAAAAGCCCCCCAAATACTCCTCACTCAAAGCATCCTTCTATTTCTTATGTCAACATGTCTCCTGAGCAGAACCTAGCAGTTCAACAAACGTGAGACATGAACAAAGTCCCACCAATAAAAATATTGCCTGACCTGATGAGGCTAGAACTGTCCCATGGTACAGAGGGAAAGTTCCTGTGGGCCATCTATAAAGGCTCTTCTGAAGGAACTCCTGCTGCAGAAAAATGCCAGAGTCACGTGCAGGGCACAAACGGTTCACTTTTATGGGAATTGTCAATCATAAGATGGACTGCTCAAAAAGTTGTATTTTAGGAAAGATATCCTAGAACTTATACTTAGAACTGGCTTTGGAAGTTGCTTGCTCTCCTGGATTTTCCTCTTTATTAGAGGGGTTTTTTTTTATTATTCTATTGTTTCTTGTTACATGTAAGAATTTATGAAATACAGCCCCTTCAACCTACTTCAGCTAATTTGAATTGAATCACTAAGTTCTATAACCTCAGAATAAGCTCATCCTCCCTTTTCACCCTGATTAAGATGCTCTTAAGCATCTCCCTTCTCTTTTTCCCTTGGGTGATACCCAATTAGCTCTTGTAATTAAAACTGTACCTAAAGGGCTGGGCTTTGTGCACATTTTGGCATTGTTCCAGGCAACACCATGGGGTTAATGCCAGGAGCAGGTCCCTCCTCAGCACTGGGTGGGACACTGGAGGGGCCTTAAATAAGATCCAATCAAAGAGGTCTGCTGAGCCTTGAGGCATGAGCCTTTTCTGGATATCTGGCCTTTGGTATTTTGGTATTTTTAACTTGGTTATCCGGATACTTCCAGACTTCCAGTATTTCCTTCTCTGGTACTCAACAGCAAGACTAAACTTTCCCGAGTGAATGTGGAGAGCCCGCCATGAAAGATTTCCCATCATTCAGCCCCATCTGGAATTTTTCCTCTGTTCATTGATCTTAGGGCTATAAAAGACCCCCACAACCCACTGACAAATGAATTAGCTCAAATTCTCCTTGTTTGAATGTCTTGCTTCAAGCTCAGATTCTGTAGCAGGGCTAGAGAGCATTTCTCACATGGTCTGGTCACACCTCCAGCAAACACAATCCTCCCCTTGTGCTGTCACTCTCTCAGGTGTCTGGGCCATGAGTGGCCCAAGCAGGGATGCTTTATTCCCTGAGAACAAGGCTGACTAAGGCCATAATTCTTTTGTGACTTAGGACAAACAAATTAAAGGTTGTGCCCAAGGCTGGCTCAAAAGACATTCCAGACGATGGGGAAATCTTTCCTGGGAAATGAATGAATTTCCCACAGCCCTCAGCTCCTTCATCTACACCACCTGAAATCAGTTCAAGCTGGACGCTATGGAAATTGCCCCAAAGAAACCAGAACAAGTTTGAGCAGAAGAGGGGAGAATTGCACCTTGGATCTTATACATAGGAAATTTGCAGTGTTTCAGGGTACTTTTTTTCCCCTTTTAGCTGTACTTCAAGGTCGTGTTTTTTATGGAGCTTTATCATTAAAGTCATAGAAACTATGACGTATTGTTATACAAACGTGAAGGAATTTGATTTTCACACACTAACACCAAGCCCCAGGGTGGAGGCTTGGCCATGGATGATGCAGCTCAGCCAAGAAAGCCGGGCAACAGGAAAGGATGGGGCAGTAGCTCTCTGCACTCCTGTTCCCAGGAAGCTGTGGAAAACCACAAAGAAGTGCTATGGTTTCTGAGTCTGCAGCAAGTACAGTGTTGGCTATTACATTAAGATTTCTTTTTTGTTCATTTCTCATAGCTGCGCCATGAGATTCACTGAGTTAACTACACCAGAATAATCTATGGTGAGGTCTACTGTACTGGAAAAAAAAAAACAACAAAACAAAACAAGAACTAAAATCAATCAGCAAAACTCAGATCTAAAAGTTAGTGGGTGCAGCAGGGGGTGAGTGGTTGCTCTGTCCCTGCGATGCTGACACAGAGCTGGTAAGAGGATCTGAGGCAAAGGACTAAACCACAGGAAAACATTAACAGCATCCCTTGGAACAAGGACTCAAGCTAGTCTCAGCATCCACAGCCCTAAACACAACAGCTTGGGGATTATTTCACATCTATATTCCCATAGACATCTAGAAAGGAACAAGGTATTTATTATGAGTTAAGGAATCACTTTGAACTGAAATTGCTCAGGACTGTTGACAAGAATACAGAGTCTCCCCATTCTCACCCAACTTCACTGTTCCCACTTACTTTCTCCATCTGAGTTTCTTTTGCTTCATCCACCAACACCCAGGCATCAAATAAGGAAGAAACATGGTATTGATTTTGTCATTATTTATTAAAAATTAAATTTTGCAAATTACTGTCTAAAAAAATCAATAGATTTAAATAAATATACAGATTTCAGGATGCTACATATGGCACGTGTGCAGTAAGTCACTTAAAGGTGAGACATTATACACACAAGGAGATATACATAGTACTTTACAGCAGTAGTTTTATTTTAAATTACTAGGCTCACATTAAACCATGTGCAAAGTTCCCTCCGGAACAAACCCTTTCAGGATTTTTTTTTTTAGAATGACTCAAACCTTCAGAAGGTCAAATATAAAAAAGTTTCTCTGCAGCTTTGGGGACCAAGTGATTAGTCTGCTATTTCATTTACAATACAATCAATTGGTCTAATTTTTCCCCCCTCTAGGACATAAAGCAAAATCAAGGAAGTATTTTGTACGTCCAATGGGACTACACTTGCAACAGCCACAGATTTTGGTCCACCACCAACCTCAAGAAGCCCTTTCAAATGCTCCTGTGTAATACTGGATTGGGCAGCAAGGGGGACCCAACAGTGGTTCCAGGAGAGCAATATTTATCTGCACAAACCAGATGACAACTGCAGCCACAATTTATAATAGAAGTTAATCTGCCCAGGCAAACAAAAGTGCATTTGTGATACAGCTCCAGAGCCTTGAGATTGTGCTTGCCTGCAAGATTGGTTTCGAGGTCCTGGGCTCAGTGTTTTATCCAAATTATTTCTTCCCTCCTCTGGACCAGCAGCTCTATGCTGCTCCTGGCCTGGGGAAGTGGCTGTGATTTAGATAAGTCTAGAGCTGTGCAGACAGTGCTGTGCTCTCTTCTTAGCGACCCTTTGCTCCACATCAATCCCATCTGGCTGCCCCTTGCCTAATGCATTCTCTGTTCCTCTCATCCTGACATGCTAGCCATACACCGGTCAATTATTTAATACAGAGAACAGGTCTCCAAGTTGGACTAAGCAAAGCAGCAAGCAAGCCTTGGCGTGCTATTTTCCCACCACCCACCTTCTCTGCCCCGAGCCTTTCCTTTCAGGCAGAGCTGGAAGAAAGCTGGGATATTATGTTAAGACCTGGAACTACTTTACCTCGCTAAGGCCACGGTCAAGGAGGTGAGACAGATTCCCAGCACTGAACCCATCCAGAGGAGCAGCTCGGCTCTGCCTCAGACCCACGGTGGCTGCTGCAGAATCACAGGCCCATCCAGCCTCCCCCCGCAAGGGCAGGGGTCCTGCTTGGGTTTGACACAAGCTCTGGCGGAAGCAAACTATCCTCCACCTAAAACAGAGCCACTTAAGGACAGCCCTTTGGTGAATTTCTCAGCCAAAGAATGCCACTGACTGCTCAGGTGGCTTTCAGGCTTCTAAATATAGATCTATTTTTATTTAATTTTTTTTTTTAATAAAAACTGGGAACTGTTTTTACTACGGGAGTCTCATTCATATGCACATGGCACTGTCTGACGAGTAAGAGAACAAAGTGCAAAGGTGGGCTCACGCTGGAGGCAGTTTATCCTCGTCTATAACGACCGGCCAAACCACCTCTGAATGGGGCCAGGCTGGAACCACACTCAGACATGTCCCAAGGGCAGAGCAGTGACAGGGCTCAGTGCCACCAACTGCAGAACTGGTTTGTAAGTGATTCAACCTCCCAGTGGGGGCTGGCCCTCTGCCTCGCACTCCAGAGCAGAGTTAAGCTGGTGCTCTCCCAGTAAGACCCTTGCCTGATCCAAAAAGGCACAATTCAGCTCCACGACACATCTACGACTGTTTAGAGAGAGAGTTTTCCCTTTACAACAGTCTCTGAAGCACATGCAGTACTGGTTCACGCAACAGGAGCATGGAGACTTCCACTTCTTCCCCCTTCCATTCATGGCCTTTCCTTCAGCTCTAACTACCGACAGCGGAGTTAGCGGCACCCGCAGGACTCCAAATTCTTCTGGTGAACGTGGTATGCACCCCTTTCTTATCTCTTCTTCTTCCAGATGTTCTTCTTCCAAGGCAAAACCGTTGGCTGTGCGCTCCTCCGAGAGCGATGCTGCTGCTGGCCAGTCCGCAGGCTGGAGATGGCCACATCCCTGGGAATGGAAGAGACACAATGCTCACTCTCCAGTCTGTTTTCCCACTACCCAGCAACAGCCTGTATTATGATATTTATCTACTAAGATTTACTTTGGGGCAGAAGATGGGGGAAAGAAGAGGGGGAATTTCCAGCTGCGGCTATATTAAGCCCCAGCAGAGACCCATTGAGCCCAATTTCCCCTTTCCACCAGTGACAGGGGATTCAAGGAGTCCTGCAGCAGGGCATGACTCGAGTGAGGCTACCCCAGATCTGCCTTTCAGAACTCATTCTCATTGCAGCTGATTTAACTGCCACCAATGGACCAACCTTCCCTCAGTTTGCCAATTCCCTTTAACTCGTTTACACTCCTGGAGTCCACGGTTCCTTCCAGCAACGAGTTCCAAAATTCAGTGATGTGATGTGAGAAAAGCTATTATGTTTGGTTCAAAGCTGTTGCCCAGTCAATCATTTTCCATCCTTCCCCCCTTCTCATACATCACTCACTTTCCTGTCCCATATCAAAGAGATTTCCCACTCCGATCAAGAATTACATTTTATGCAATATTATTCTTATTTTGAGGGAGACAAGAAACTCTGGTTCCCTCAGCTGTTGGACATGAATTCTACAGAGAGCAGAAATAGGCAAGTCTCCTCATTTAAAGGGAGATGAGAGTGGGAAGTCAGGTCAAATCCAAGTAGCAATTGCAGACAGGGGTTACAACCCTGGATTTTAAAGTGCTTATGCGGGACATTGGGATTAAGTTTAAATGTCTCACCTGAGCGTTCTCAGCAGGCCATGATGGGAAGGTCTCACACCATCACTCTGCAGAGACTTCATTGATGCTCCCGTTATTGGGACCTTCAGACTCTGGAGGTACCTAACGAGCAAGAGGAGACACGTGAGCCCTCGCATCCAGCCAAGTAAGTGCCGGGGGAGCGTTGCTCTAATGTCACCACTGACAGACTGAGACAGTTGAATGCATGTTTTTGAAGGGTTAATTGCAGCGATTTGAGAGCTATTCATAGCTCACTTTTACTTCTATCCTTGCCCTATTCAGACTTATTTAATCACCGGGGATTTTAACTATTGCCTTGACATTAAATTAATGACAGCTCTCTACAACGACTTTGCCCCCCACCTCCCCATTGTAAGCATCCCTCTCTGCTGCTGCCTCAAGCCAGACGACCGAGAGCCCATGTGCACTATAACAAGGGCTGGCTCCAGAAGATATTTGCCTTCCGAGCCACAGCTCTCAGCAGCCCTGCTTTCCTGCAGCCTCTCCCACCCAAGCCATGCAGGAGATGCTGGTGTCCCACTGCTTCACACACTCCGTGGTCCCTCTCCCAGTGTCCACCAGCTCCTCCCATCCCACCAGCGCACCTGGTGCTTCCTCAGCCTCCTTGGCAGGAGGGATGGAGGCAACATTGCTTCATATCAGCAAGCAAAGAGACTATTGTACAACAAAAACACACCAGTGACGCTCTGCCAGGGCCTCTTGGGAGGGGTATAAAAGCCACTAGACGAGTTCCAGCTGTTTGCTAAGAGCTGCACAGCCCTCCCCAGGGAGGCTGCATGGTTAATCCAGCTCCCAAGGGTCCCCTGCCCACTGGCACCCTCACTGAGCAGCCCCCAGGGACATCCCCAGCCCCCCTCCCCGTCCCCAAGCTTACCCGGGCTGGTGGCAGAAGGTGGCACAGATGTTGTCCCTCGAGTGCGAGCACTCACACCTGCCCAGTGATCTCCTGCGCCGCCTTGGCGGGCTTCCCAAGCCATAGGGAGCGGTGTGGCTGTTCAAAACAAAAGAAATCAGCTATGCAGCTAACTTTTTTTTTTTTTTTTTTTTTTATTAGCCAACAGGTTGATAACACAGTCCTGGGAGGCAGTGAAGCCAGTGCCAGGATAATAAAAGACTCATCTATAGGCATAAGGTGAAAAGGTCACTGATATGTCTAAGCCTTTAACTCCAGCTCCTCTCCCCCCCCTCCTGTTTTCCCCACCCTACCCCTCCCAGGGAGATTGCCGTGCCAGTATGTGCTGGGTTGAAAGTGGAATTTTCTCCCCTTGCAGCAGCCCAGGAGCCCGTGCAAGGGTCGCTGCTGGGGCTAGGTGTGCTGGCAGCTCACCTGGCTGGCAAAGTGCAGGAAGAGCCTGGCTGCCCCAGCCCCACCAGCCCCACCAGCAGCAAGCAGCCAGTTTCTCAAGTACGGAGATGTCAGGGCTTCCCTTCTGCCCCCCCGCCGTGGGTTTTAACACACAGGACATAGTACAAATGAAGATGTCTCAGGGCCACAACAGGTTCTTCTGATCACAGCATGCTTTCAGAGCTGTTAGCACATTCCCGCTCCATCCTTGATCACAATCTACTCTCCCAGAGGGTTTAGGATTGGCAGGGACTGCAACTATTCTCTGAGCAAGCAGCGAGTTGTAATTGCACGTTAGCGAGCATGATTATAACCACACCTGAGTACGTGTGTTTTGCTCCAGTGTGCTGGCCATTGGTCTGAAACTGATGGAAAGCTGCTGTAGCATTCCTGAGGGCAGGACTTGGCAGCCACAGGACCTTTAGTGCCAGCCCACCACTGTCTCATTAACGATCCTGGCAGCCAGCAGCCAGGCTCCCAGTTTTCGAGCAGGCAGAGGAACTTTCTGACTTGCAGCTACATCTCGGTTGTTGCTTTCGGCTTCCAGAGGGACAAATCCCAGAAAAAAAGCTGAACCCAGGAGGAAGCAGCGCCCTGCGCTTTCACCCCCCTGCCCTGCAGGTTAAACTGCCAGTCCCGAGCAGGAGCACAGCTTGTCCCTTTCCGAATGTTGGAAAGCACAAGACTTGCAATGCTCCCCAGAGCAGGTGTTACAAAAGCCTCCCAGCACTCACCCTTTCTCATCTTCTCTAACTTAACCCCATCCTCTACCTGAAAGTACAGTCACTCACTCATCAGCAGAGCCACCCCCCCACCCCCAAGAAGCCTCATTCATGCTTACCCAGGGGTGTTGACCCAGATGATGTCCAGATGACAGAAGTAAATGCATTCCTTATCCAGCCAGCTGTTGCAGGAACACCTCTTGGTCCTCAGGTGGGTGGCCAGGTGGGACTCTGGCGGAGGATGACCCGTACCTGCAGCAGGAGGAGAGAGGGATGAGTTGCAGAGCAGGAGCACAGCTTGTCCCTTTCCGAATGTTGGAAAGCACAAGACTTGCAATGCTCCCCAGAGCAGGTGTTACAAAAGCCTCCCAGCACTCACCCTTTCTCATCTTCTCTAACTTAACCCCATCCTCTACCTGAAAGTACAGTCACTCACTCATCAGCAGAGCCACCCCCCCACCCCCAAGAAGCCTCATTCATGCTTACCCAGGGGTGTTGACCCAGATGATGTCCAGATGACAGAAGTAAATGCATTCCTTATCCAGCCAGCTGTTGCAGGAACACCTCTTGGTCCTCAGGTGGGTGGCCAGGTGGGACTCTGGCGGAGGATGACCCGTACCTGCAGCAGGAGGAGAGAGGGATGAGTTGCAGGAGGAAGGGATAAGCTGCAGGCTCGGCGCAGGGCGCTGGAGTGCCCCATCCGTTTGTCACCTCCACAGTTACACCTCCGGTAAGGATTACGGCCATTTCAATATGCAGGCAGTTTTACAGGAGGTGCAGCCTTGCCAATTAGGCTGCGGGCTCATTAAAGATTTGCATCACCCTGGCAGCTGTAGAGGCAACCCCTGGAGCAATACCCCCCTCGCAATGCACCCCCCCTACCCTCTGCTCCCCCCGAGCAGCCCCACTCCCCCTGCCGAGTGGGGTGAAAAAGAGGGGTCCCCCAGCCGGGGCAGGTCCCAAACCCCCTTCCAAGCCGGGGCTCACCATCTCCCAGGAGGACGCAGAGGGCGAGGGCCAGCAGGAGGGCACCGGCAGGGTGGCTGGGCATGGCTGGTCTCGCAGGCGTGGGGCTGGGATGGAAGAGGTGGAGGTTTTAGGGTATTTTTTTTTTGTTGTTGTTGGTTGTTTTTTTCCTCCTTTTTCTCCTCTCCCGCCGTTTCTCCGTGCGCTGCCGGAGCCGGAGCCGCCGCGGTGCGTCTGGAGCCGGCGGGCGCTGCAGGTGCTTTATAGCCCGGCCGCCGCCGCGTCACGGCCCCGCTCCGCCCCCGCGCGTGGGGCAAACACGCGGGGACACCGCAGGCCCCGGGCTGGGGAAGGGGGGGGCGGCAGGGATCGGGGGGGACACCCCCGGGGACAAGGACCTCAACCCCTCTCCCCCCCCCGCCGCCGCCAGCCCCGCGGGTGCGCAAAACACGCGTGGGACAGGCTCTGTCTCCCCCCACCCGCGGAGCGCGGGGTGGGTGCTGCGTGAGGTGGCGGGGGGCACTGTGTTTGTACCCTGAGGGGGGTGATGAGTGGGGGCTGCTCCTGCCCCCGGGGGTCGGAGGAAGGCGGGGGGGGGGTGTCAGGCGGCAGTTTGCCCCCGCCGCCGGCAGATGGAGCGGGAGCCCGCGGGCCGCCTGCCCCACGCGTGGGGGGCTCATCTCGGGACCCCCCCCTTTCCCCGCGGAGGGACCCCTCGGGCTGCTCCTTCGGGCGTGGCAAAAAAATAAAAATAAAAGGATAATTCAAATGACAGAGTTTAGTGGGGTGACTTGGTCTGCACGGGATTTAACCCGGGTGAACTAGGTAGTATTCAAGACAAGTTAAATTTCAAGTGCTTTATAGCCCGGCCGCCGCCGCGTCACGGCCCCGCTCCGCCCCCGCGCGTGGGGCAAACACGCGGGGACACCGCAGGCCCCGGGCTGGGGAAGGGGGGGGCGGCAGGGATCGGGGGGGACACCCCCGGGGACAAGGACCTCAACCCCTCTCCCCCCCCCGCCGCCGCCAGCCCCGCGGGTGCGCAAAACACGCGTGGGACAGGCTCTGTCTCCCCCCACCCGCGGAGCGCGGGGTGGGTGCTGCGTGAGGTGGCGGGGGGCACTGTGTTTGTACCCTGAGGGGGGTGATGAGTGGGGGCTGCTCCTGCCCCCGGGGGTCGGAGGAAGGCGGGGGGGGGGTGTCAGGCGGCAGTTTGCCCCCGCCGCCGGCAGATGGAGCGGGAGCCCGCGGGCCGCCTGCCCCACGCGTGGGGGGCTCATCTCGGGACCCCCCCCTTTCCCCGCGGAGGGACCCCTGGGGGTGCTCCTTCGGGCGTGGCAAAAAAATAAAAATAAAAGGATAATTCAAATGACAGAGTTTAGTGGGGTGACTTGGTCTGCACGGGATTTAACCCGGGTGAACTAGGTAGTATTCAAGACAAGTTAAATTTCAAGTGAAATTGTTACTCAATTAAAGAAAAAAACAACTGTTAAATGAAAGTCTCCGCTTTCTCTCGTCCTCTTGTCCTCTTTTTTTTTCATGAAAACAGTTTAAAGTCTTTTGCCAAGTTGAGCAAGTAAAATTTCTTGCAATCCAACTGTCTGATCGCTGCCTGGTTCTGCATCATCATTAACGATGGCACAATTGACACTATCCGCACATTTTTCATGATACAATAATGTAAAAATATAGAAGTCACCTCCTGGTGCACACGAGGAGGCAAAGTGCCTTCATCCTGCCCGCCGTGTGTGCCGTGCAGAAGTGGGAAGGTGTCCTCCGGAGCAGCGTTGGGTACTGAGCACAGCAGGGATGGAGAAAAGCTTCCCAGCTTCTCAAATCTGGGGAAAATCTTGAGAGTGGAGTGTACCAAAGAGTGCGAGCAGATTAGAAGAGCGAGGAAAGGACTCCCTGCACCTGACTGACTTACTCAAGATGTTTTTAAAGGCTTCTTAGAAAAAGGGAGTGTATTTTTATTTGTTTACAATGAACAACTTAGGGTTTTATTGGGCTGTTGTCGTGAACAGATGCAAGATGATGGCAATTAACAGTGAAGCAGTGTGCGGTCTCATGGAAAGTGTAACACGTGTGTGGGGAATGGGAAGAGAAAATGTGCAGCGAGTCGGAGTGTGGAAAAACTGCTTTCATCTGAGCAACAGCTTCTGCAGCTCGTGGAGGTAAATTGGGTTGCGATGGCATCCTGCAAGCGGTGACAAGAGGCTTTAACACACGCTCAGACCAAGCAGCAGTGTGAATCCTGCTCTGTATTCATGCAAAATGCATGCGGAAGATGTGCGCAGGGGAAAACCCATGGTGGGATCAAAAAAATATGCTCAGGGGAAATTATTGCTCTGTTCACCAAACAACTCTGCCTACGATGGTTCGTGAGAGCACAGATACTGTTGAGAGATCCATTTATTGAGCGGGGATGAAGCGAGGGGGTATGGGAGGCCAGAGCAGATGAAAAATGTACATCTGGGAATGGAGCTAGAATTGCAGAGTAGAGGACGTGAGGCAGGGCAAATCAAGAATAGTGCAAATTTTATTTCAAAACAGTAAGAAGACAAAGATACAACTGATAAAATAAAGCTTTGGTGTGGTAGGCAAACAAGCAGAGGGAAGTTTTTAACCTCCGTATCAATGCAACAATCGTTCTAAAGAAAATAGGGAAACACAATAGCAGCGTTACCTGTTACAGCCCATGCTCCAGCTGTGCCAAGTTTCAGAGTTATGTCAGTTCGGGTACTGTGTGACATTCCAGATGCCAGTTCGATGATACAATAAATCTCCCCTGGCTCCAGCTTCTGCCATCCTCACCCTGGTCACAGTGGGGTGAAAGAAGATATCCTCAACGTGGGGAAGGTAACGCAGCAGCAGTTATACACACAGGGGAAAGGCTGGGCCATAAATGACATCATTTTGCTTAAAGAAGGAGTTTGCTCTTAGAAAAGGTGTTACCAGTTGTTTACGTGAGGCAGGAGACAAAGCCACAGTATTGTGGCTTTTCAGGATTCACTCGCTGAAAGGATCAGCAGAGAACTTTGGCACATGAAGACCTCTCATGTCCCCAGGAAGGAAGAAGTCCCAAGTTAACCTGAGGTTTTGGAGATCTGGGTTCAAGCTATTTCCTTTACCAGACTCCTTTAGTGGCCATACCTTTGTCCCTGAGCTTACGTGTGCAAGCAGTGCCTGATGCTACCTGTAACTGTCTGTAAAGGTATCTTACTGTGTCGAGAAGAAGACAAGCGCCCAGATACCTGTTAGGTATCTGCCTTTAATGCCAGGGGCAAAAACATCTTTACAAACCAGACCTTTCATCCAACATTTCCCCCTTGTTTTCTTCATTTCTCATTAATCCCAAGAGATTTACACTGTTGCAGAAAATGGAGAGAATGTTACACCTTCATGTTCACATGTATCTACTGGGGGAGTTTGAACTAAGATTTTTTTCACCAGGTCATACCCTACTGTGTTGAGCAGCCACAAACCCGACCGGCACTCGTATGGATGTTTGGCACCAGTGCTTCAGAGATCTTAAAGCATGTGGAGTTGTGGAGGAAAGTCTGCTTTTGTTGCAGGGGTGTAGGGACCCTGCACAGAAGTGGTGGGGTTGGGGTTGCAGTGACCAAGACTGCTTTTAGCTGACCCTGCTCTGAGGGCTTTGTTCAAAGTTACAGAATTTCTGTGAGGAAAAAAAATGATGACTTTTTAAAAAAGTAATTTGCCTTTAGGCTTGTGAAGAAGAACATCCAGACATAGGTGGCAAATGTGTCTTGACATCAGCCATCCCCACGGAGTATTATTCTGGAATCTAACTGGTGGTTTCAAGAGCAGCTACTCATTTTAGGCTGAATTCAATCCTCCTCTGTATGATGGGCTGGGGGGTCAGCTTGGACTGGGAGCAGTGGTTCCACTTGACCTCCAAGACACAGAGAAGCTCCACTGCTTCTAAAACTGTTCCTGTTCCCCTGATAAAGAGCAGGAGCCACTGCTTCCCAAGGCCAACAGTCCTGGCATTATCACCGTGCTAAAATCACTAAGAAAAACAACCAGCTGGAGTGGAGGGACGGGTCCGTGCTACAAAAACACGGCTTCCAAAGAAGGAACAAAGGCATACACAGAGTCCGAAATGCCAGAGATGGGCTTTGCCTCCTGCAGTTATTTTTTCCCTTTTGTTTCTGACTGTAGGAATACATTGTTCACTGCATTGTGCAGAGTTCCAGGCAGACATGACGAAAGGGACAAAACAGCTCAAGAAAGGAGACGTCCCATGTAGTATTCATGAAATGCGCTGTTTGGAAACAAGGAACAAGCAAACAGGAAGGGGCTTTAACCATTGAGAAGACGGGATTGCAGCATGTTCTTGGCACCAGCGGGAACAATGGGGTGATGTCACGAGTCAGAATTCCCCACGGTGGATGGAAGCCCAGCAAATAATCATAATTCTTGTCCTGGGACATTAGCAAAATTTTTCCACAGTTGGTCATCCCCCACAGAGTCCGTGTGAGGAAGTGTAGGAAAGAGACATTGTCAAGCGAAGCTTCCTCTGGGAGATTCGTAGTCCCCCCTCCCTACCCCTGGATCAACCCATCGGTTGTTATAAATCACTGCTTTCTGCTGATTAGGAGGAAATTCAATGGTGGTGCTGGGAGGCTGAGCACAGGGCTGAAGAACATACTTCAAGTGCAGAAGGGTGCACACAAGGGTCTGGATCCTTGTGAGGGGAAAAGGGCAGGAGTCTCATTAGCTCTCCAGTGATTTGAGCCTGCACAGCATCATAAGGAGTGTTGTCCTTACTGCTTCAAAGGTGCTGAGAATGGCAAGGAGCTTAGGAGACACAGTCTTGCACAGACAGTGGTGTTTGGAGAGTTTCAACCAAATGAGCTACTAAATGACATGAGCATTATGAGGGCATCCTCCAGATCCTAGACTCTCTTTCCTATTTTGGCTTGAAGTCAAGTCTGCGGAGAGTGACCTGAAGTTCACTTGCAGCATCCAGGCATTTTCTGAAGCAGTTCTTGAGTTCTTCTTTGGCTCCTTTCTTTTGACAGGGACTAGTCCCATGGGAGGACAGGGACAGCCAGGCAATCTTTATGGGTTGTGACAGCTTTTGCTGATTATTGGGCTATTACTGAAAATCCAGACTGCGCTTGCCTTTCCAAGATTTGCTCTGCAAGACCCCAGTCTGCTTCTCTGCCGAGCAAACCAACC